TAGGAGGCTTTAATAAGGGAAAAGTTTTGACACATTAAGGTCCAATCCCATTTCTTATTTTTACCTCTACCCCTTGTTTTCGAGTGTCACCTTGCCCCTTGGAACTGAGTTACAAGGAGTTGTGGTTAAAATCTTCCTCTATGAAATGGGACCCTCAAATATGAAAGAACATCACTTCATTAACAGCTACTAGCGCTGCTCTGTAGGCGACCCTGCTAGTCTGCAGTGACAGCAGAGGAGGGTAAAGTTCAGCTCTTCACTGCTGGACTTTAGTTACATTTAGGGAATCATATGCCTTCAAAGAGGGGGGGACAATTATTTATTATCACCCACCCCGAATTCTTCAGTGATATAAAATCAGCTATTTGCCAGCTTCTTGTTCGAATTTTCCCGTTCCACCTTAAATGGTGCAGCAGTTACATGCTGGCGTCTCAGTCTAGTTAGCTACCAAGACATCAGCAAACGACTAGTGATTTTTTATGCTTGATGAAATGATGTTAAACTAAGATAAAACAATGTTTTTCATCATTTTTAACAGAGAAAATTCTCACATTTGTGTTTCATCGGTCACTTGTGCAGCCAACTTGACGGTTTCTCTTTTTTTCTCATAACACTCTGTTTGGAGCGTGCCACTAAAAAACCTTCATTTGGAGGGCCATGTAGCCCTAACACTTCACCCTACCCCTCTATCTTACCTAAAATTGGGACACACAACCCCTAGGTGTGAACAGGGTAGGGCTAAGTGGTAGGGGCGAGGGGTGAAATGGAATTGGGCCTGGATACTGAAAAAGTTGATATTATATTTAATAGTTTTCTTGCTTTTGTCATGGTGCTGAAACATGAATAGCTTGTACTTTATGACTTTGACTGGAATTATGCAATGTGAGTACATATATTTCAGTTTTAAGGGGGTTGTAAGAATTATAAGATTGTAAGATTAGTTAACGTATTTTTAAACTTTTCATTTATGGTAGATCATTTCACCTCTTGAAGCAATAAGAATTTCATTTTAGTAAAAACTGTCTACAAAAAAGTCAACTCAGAAATATCACCTTGCTTTCACATGCTAAGATATCATTTCTTTGCAGTGTAAAATAAACATGTCTTTAGTGGTGGCCAAGTAAATTGCTTCAGTTCTATTTAAAATGGAAAATGATTCGTAAAAATGAATACATCTAAGATATTTGATAGCAGTGTGAGAGGAGTGTCAGTATTGGCAGAGTGTCCTTTCGTGGTCCTAGCCAGTGGTTCTCAATCTCAGTTCTGGAGCTGGATAATGAGATGAGCTGAATCAGGTGTGTTAGAGAGCAGGAGAGACTCAAAAAGCACTGGGATTGATAGCCACTGGTCTAAGAATATCCTGTGATTATTTTGCCCTGTTGGTTTTTGCTAGCAAGGCAACGTTCAGGCTGCAATTTGTTAAGACTGGATACTAGGCATGTATCATATTCTAGAACCAAATACACCTTCATTGTTGTGCTATAACATATATTTCCAAGCGAAATGGCCACATGGCTGAGATAAGGCATGGAAAAGAAATGGAATCTTCTTAGTTTTAATGAGAAACGCCACTGAATCTGCTCTACAGTCATGTCTCGGATTTGCACTTGTAGCCTGCGGGGTGAGAAGTGGGTGCGAGTCAGACTATACTCGGTTGCCATGCTATAGTAACCATGGTAATCCTTGCGGGGATGGGAACCTCTTTTTCGGGCAAGAGGATCACGTCCTGTTCCCAGATCACCATGGCAACAGCAGACCTCACTGGTCCTCTGGTTAGCTACCCGGAGTTCAAAGTTCGAAACCCCTGCCCCATCTCCACTGACTGTGGGGACTTTCCCTTCAAAGCAAAGGACAAACATATTCTTAAGGTGAACTGTGAAATCTTAAGACAATAACCAAGCAGATGTTCCAGAATTAGATCAACACATGCAGTGAACGTTCTTTAAGAGAGAGTTTCCATAGGAATTAAGGCACTTTTGTTTTTTCTCTGACAGTAAAAAGCTGCAGGACTAAAGAACATTCTCTGGTCCAGATGTCCTCTCCGTACGCCGAAGTGACCAACAAAAACTAGTTTGGCCTTGAGAACGATGAACACATTCACCAATCGGTGGCTGGAACTCAGTTCTCCATTGAGTTCCAGCACGTCCTTTCGCTCATGGCCTCGTTTTTAGAGGAGAAAATAAAAGATTCTTTGCCAGGTCTCTAAACAGTAGCGAGTAGAAAAGGCAGAGCAGACGCAGTCTGATTCATCGTTGATGATACAGAGTGGCGTAGCGAAAAAAAACTCTTCATCTGATGCAGACTCGGGGGCCTTTGGGCTCATTAGTGGTTTCTCAGAAAGGGGGCAGAGTCAAGGGGCAGCACCTGTGCAGGTGGGTCAGTCTCATCATCTCTCACGTGAGTATTTTGTATTTGTCCTTAAACTGGGCTGGTGTGCAGGTGTATTGGTCCCTGAATTAGCAATCTCAGGGCTGAAGGTGCGTTAGAAGCAAACCTTTGTACCATTGTAACATTCGGCTTTCGTCATATTACAAGTTTTATCGCTCAGTCCTGATTTTTTCGCTGAGATCTTTTTTTCTTGATGGTTCACATTACCCCATAATCTGTGATTAGTGTGAACCGACTTGTGCAGCAATGAAAAGGGGCATTTGCATGCCAGTCCAGCGCTGCAATGGCATTTATTTTCTCTGGACAGCTATTTCACTGCCTCAACATGGTCTATAATGACTGTCCTCCATTTGTTGTCCAAGTCAGCCACTGCTAACATCACATATGTATGTGTTTACTGTATTTTCATGCAATTGTTCTTCCCAATTTGGGCCAATTCCATGCACTGGTGAGGTCTCACACGATTGCATGAGGCTACCATTCTAGAAGGGTGAAGGCTAGCATGTTCTCTGAGACACATGATGCCCCACCACACCTTTTCAAACTGCTGCTAATGCAACACCACTAGATAGCTCAACATGTTTGGAGGAGAACACTTATGGCCAATTCTGTTATGTTAGCTAACACACACTCACATTGGTTAGCATCATGATGGGGGTACAGGGAGGACCGTTCTACCCACACAGAGGACACTAAACCAATTATGATTGGACTTCTGGACATGGATGGCTGTGGCAACACCACCTATCAAACTCACCAACTACATCTAATGATGACAGGCTTTCATAGGCAGTCCTAGGTTTGATACTTGGCCATGTGGCTGTCATGAATCCAAATTCATGTGTTTATGTCTCATTGTGCATCCTCATCATTCAGTTTCATTGGTGTGTTAGCATCTGCTAATGATAGAGGCTAACGAACATTTGTCCATGTGGGTCCTCTCAGGCCTCACATCTGTTCACAACAAACACACAAACGTCAACCATCCATACCGAAAGACCACATCTCAGCGCCAAATCGAAACTGAGCAACAAGGCTTGTAATGAGGACGTAGCCCTAGTCCTGTAATCAGAGGGTTTATCTGTGAGTGCTGTGGGTTCATCTATGAAGTAGGAGCCCCTGCTGAGTGGAGCACAGAACACACTGCCCTAGCAAATGCAGCACCTTCTCTCCATTCCTGACGCAATTTTCATCTCTACTTCCTTCACGCGCTCTCCTCTCACTGCTTCGTAATCTCCTCTCGCTCCTCATTATTTTTCTCCTTTTGGAACTGCACCCCCCTCTCATTTTCCCTGAACCCTCCTTATTAAAGCCATATTTTGGTGAAATTTCATATTTGCTCAATTTTCCCCCCTCACCCCAAATGTGGTCAATCAGCCAGGACATGTACGGTGTCGGAAGTTTGCTCCTTCGGGCTGAGTCACAAGATATTTTGGTATTCATCTTTGGGAATTCGTTTGTTGAAGGCATATTTGATGGTTTTTCTTCTCTAATTGAGAATCATATGAGTGGGAAACTCCTTTAAACATGGGTACTTGTAAACTGCTGGTGGTCACTGTTCAAATATTTGAGCTGTCTTAATAGATGTTTGAGTTGGGTTGTACAGCTCTGTGTGAGACTGGATGAAGCTCTGCCCCAGATTGTCTCCTATTGGCTGGCGCATTGGTTATGGAAGCATGTGCGAACCTTTTCAGTGGACCATGGAGCATAATTTTTACAAGTTGGTGTCTGCTGCCCACCAACACATTTTTTCCTTAAAATGATTAGCAAGTGTTGCATTTTTGATGAACAGCATGACCTCCTTGTGAATGCGGCCTTAGTTTTGCACTGGAGGCTAAGGTGGCTAACCTGTAATAGACAATATAGGCTAGAAAACAACTGTGCATTTCATGAAGGAAACACTTAGGTTGCTAAGGTGTTGCTAGGTGGTTGCTAAGGGGTTTGGTATTGTATTCCATGTGATTGCTAGGTGGTTGATATGGTGACCCAGGTGGCTGCTAAGGTGTTGCTAGGTAGTTGCCATGGTATCCGAGATGGTGTTACTAGGTGGTAGCTTCTCTTTTTAATTAATAACACAATTTCTAAATGTGCTTGTGTGCCATTCTGAACTACAAAAAAAAACATCAACCAAAATAGAAGCCTCATGCATATTTTACACAGTGATAGGAAACCACAGTAGCTCACAGAAAGCTACTGTTCTACATGCTAAGATTGCTAAAGTGATTGTGCTGTTGCCAACAGGGATGTGTGATAATTTGGGAGTAGATGTAAATGACTAGCTTTCTTTTTTTGTGGGCCCAGTATTGGTACTCATCAGGTTAACGACACTCTATGATGTACTGTTATCTACAGAAATGGACAGAAGTAGGTTATATAGCTATAAACAGTAGTAGAAGCCTGAATTTCATCCATCATCCATGCAGTATGTAGATATTCTGTTTCTATTGCTTGTTAGCCACATTAGCCTGAGCTCCAGTGCAAAACCAGAGAAGCAAACTTCAGACACCAAGCAAGTCTTACCTAACTGACCACATTTGAGGTAAGAAGAACTCTTTAAATTTTGTCTCTTCACTCCAGTTGTAGGGCTCGTGCTCTGTCTCTCTCTCCCTTTCTCATTTCAGGTGTTCTATAACAGCGATGTCCCGCCGGTCAGCAGCGTACTCCGGGCTGAGGCCGTTCATGAAAAGGCTGCCGTTGCGGGACAGGGGGAAGGAGGGGTACGCCTCTCGCTCGTCCCCCAGGTTGACGGACAGCGTGCGTTTGCCCATCTCCTGGTTGACAGGCGGGTTGTTGAGGCCCAGCTCGGCCGACAGTTTGCGCTTGATGGATGCGGCGCGCTGGAACTTGTCGTAGATGTCGACGCTCAACCGCCGGCGGGTTTCTTTGAACTCGGCCGAGACGTTGGCCGTCCACTCAGCGGCGTGTGCCCGGAACTCACCCACCTGGGAGAGAAATAAATAAATAAATAAATAAACTAAAGAGAACGAGCTAACCTTCTTAGTCCATCACCTTCTCTCACTTGTAGCCCATTTAAACAAAGAGGGAATTGTACTAATGCATTATGTAAATAACTGTGTAATTAATTATGTTATTATGTAATTACAGTTCAATAATCATGTAATGCAAACCAAATGTTCAGCAATAACAGCTCTAGACTGCTAAGAGTTAAGCGAGAGGACATGAGGTCAGCTTAAACCCTGCTGAGCTGACAAGAACATTCGTGGGAACAGAATGAAGTGAATGAGATCTTGGGGGTCTCGGGGGGAGATGACTTTTAGCCACTTGAAACCAAAAGACACTTAAGAGGCTTTCCAATTTAATGAAGTGGAACGAGAGGTAGAATGATGTACAACTGCTGCTCTCTCATTCTCTTTCTCTCTCATTTTCTCTTTCTCTCACTTGTTCTCATGTTCTCAGAAAATGAAAAGAAACATAATATAACATAATATAATATAATATAATATAATATAATATAATATATTATAATATAATATAATATATTATAATATAATATAATATAATATAATATAACATCACAGTAAATTAAATAAAATAAGGCAACACTTAAATAATAATCACATAATGTTGGCCTGGTCCAATTTGGTAAGATATAATGAATAATAATCAAGGTGGAAATTGTGAGATGTGCCAATACATGCAGTGTGTTTTTGAGAGAGAGAGAGAGAGAGAGAGAGAGAGAGAGAGAGATGGCAGGGGTGTGAGAGACAGAAATGGAAGAAAGAGAGAGAGAGAGAGAGAGAGAGAGAGAGAGAGAGAGACAGAGAGAGAGAGAGAGAGAGAGAGAGAGAGAGAGAACGAGAGAGAAAGAGAGAGAGAGAGGGAGAGAGGAGAGAGAGAGGGGAGGGGGAAATGGAGGGAGGGAGGGAGACTGTTATATTTGATTCATGTACAACTAAATTTAATGATGGCTGCTGTATGTGTGTGTGTATGTGTGAGCATGTGTGTGAGTGTGTGTGTGTGCACGTGTGTGTGCGCGTGTGCATGTGTGTGTGTGCATGTGTGTGTGTGTGTGTGTGTGTGTGTGTGTGTGTGGTCTACAGTCTACTCGTTTTCATTTTCTCTCCGTATGTAATAAATATCTTTCATGGCCGCTTAGCACAGGAGAGGGAGGCGGTTGCTAGGTAACCTGGCGACAGGTGTGATGGCGACTGGGTTACTTGGCTTTGTGAGCAGTTAAGAGCTTTTATCTCCAAGCTTCATTATGTTCATCTAGGTTCATCTGTGTTCGTCTGTGTTTGTCTGTGTTCATCTGTGTTCGTCCGTGTTTGTCTGTGTTCATCTGTGTTTGTCTGTGTTTGTCTGCGTTCAGGGCTTTTTCTCTGTTTGTTCTGCCTTTCTTTTACACACGCTGAGCACTGTGGGTATTAGACCAGGCCTCATAAATCACAAAATATGTTTGTTTATGCTCGATTCATCTGCCAGTTAAAAAATCATCTGCTCAGTCATGCTCGATCAGGAGTAAACCATGCATGTAGTTCAGTCCGTTTTGACAGATGAAGGATTATTTTCCCTCAAGACAGAGAAATGTAGATTAACCCTTAAACACCAGACTCATTCAGCTGCTTTTTTAAAGCTCACTACTTTGAATAAGTTGGAAACTACAATGAAACTAAATTGTAAGGTTTTTTCTGTTTAAGCATAGCCAGATACAGAAAAACATATCACATAAACTATGCTATTTCAGTGGTACTTAAAGGGAAACTCCAAACCTCTGCACAAATCAATGATTTGGTCATTTAGAGTGGTTTGTGTGAAATGATTCATTGTAGAGAAAATTAAAAACTCATATTTCAGATTTCTTTACAATGGTGGTGATAGGAACCAGGGGTCACATATCTTTAACAGAAATATTGCCATTTTATTTACTGTCCAATACCACCAGTAAACCTACACTTGTCTTCTAAATTTTATATGTAATATTTATAATGGTAAAATAGTGAAAAATCTGATAAAATTAAGTTTTTTTTGTAAGACTATGGCCTTGCAATGCACTCCTGCACCATGAATGGATTCTAAAATACATTATACACCAAAATCCTATCCTATCTATTAAAACTATCATAAAACAGTGTCTCAGAAATTAGGCAGCATATATATATATACAACTATTTCAGGTAATAACTTTCTGTCAGGGAGCTTTTAGAGGCATTAGACTCTTCAGATGTCTGGTTCCTATCTAAACAGTTCTGACTTAGTAAGCTTCTCTAGAAGGGGGCATTTCACACCAAACCACTCTGAATTACTATGTTTACACAATAACCATTTAATTATGCATAAATCATGAAATGTCAGTGGTACCACCCTTTCATTTTGACATTCTCTGTCCACTCTATGCAAATTTTGCTAATGATGCTAGTAGGGCCCAGTTAGCATTATAAACATAAAGCTGAGCTTCTAATAACTTTTAATTTAGCATTTTTGGCCATTTTTTTAAAACTTTGATCCTAGAGTTAAGATCAGAAAGTAATACTTCCTAAAGTGCAGAGTTCCAACCAGTGGAACGGAACCGAGAGTGTCTGGACTCTGCTTCAGGTCATACCAGGCCACACGCTGTTAGCCACAGGGTTATGAGGCTAGTTTCAGTCTCTCTTTGAAACTAAGTGAAAATAATAGAGTGAGAGAGCGCACCTCTTCTTTCGTTTTCTTTGATATGACCCGGAACCAGTCTCCGATCATGCTGAGTATCGCGGCGAAGTACGCAAGCCCCACCAGAATCCAGAACCACACCACTGGCTTATAGTAGTCCAGATACTCCATCTCAGATCCACCTGAAAGGGTAAGAGACAGACTGTGGTCAGGGGTTGTAAAATCTCAACAATAATATTATAAAATCTGGTCAATATGCACAACTTTTCTCATGAGACAGCTGTAAGAAGAACTAATTATTCCATGATTTTTTTGTCTGGTTGTCCAAATCGATATATTGCTTCAATTTGCCAAGATATAATTTTTTGCAATGCAGTTTCATTCTTCCTATCCAACTGAATACTGTTATATATACAGAGGAACTGATCTTAGATCAGGTCTGTTCATGTTGCTGTTTCCAACTATGTGGTTGCCAAAGAGCACTAAACAACCCAATTCTTTTAAATCCAGTAGATTAGCCAGTGCTGTGTTATGCAGCCAGTACAGCCAGTTCCTATAGTGCAGGAGAGGAAGCTGACTGGTTTAGTAAAAAATAACAGTAATAAGGAAAATTTAGTCTACTAATGGAAATAATCGGAAACTCCAAATAAAACAAAACTATTATTTAATGTGCTGTCATTTACTGTTCACCCTCACCTGCAACAAAATCTCCAAAGCCAATGGTCGTCAAAGTGATGACGACAAAATAAATGGCCTCCAGGGTGCTCCAGCCCTCGATGTGCTTGAAGATAATGGCTGGCAGCGTGACGAAGAGCAGGCAGCCAAAGAGGATGAAGAGAACAGTGGAGATCACGCGAATCTTCGTCTGACTCACCTTCCACTTCTGTAGAGAGAGAAAGATACAGAAGGACCAATGGATTAGTAGATGGGTGAATTGATTGTTGAATGTATGGGTGGAGGCATGGGTGGGTGGGTGGAGGCATGGGTGGGTGGGTGGACAAGTGGACAATGGATTAATGGATGGATGGGTGAGGGTTTGGATGGATGGATGTTGAATGGATTGATAAGAGATGGATGGAGGGATAGATGGATGGATTGGTGGGTGGGTAATTGGATGGATGGACTGACCAGTGGATATATGGATGCATCAATGATGAATGGGTGGGTGGGGGTTGGATGGATGGATTGATTGATGGATATATGGATGGATAGATGTTGGATGGATGAGTGGGGGTGAGATTGATGGATGGATGGAAGGATAAATGGATGGATTGACAGATGGGTGGGTGGTTGGATGGATGGATGGATAGGTGGGTGGATGGTTTGATGGATTGATGCATGGATTGATGGATGGGTGGGTGATTGTATAGATGGTTGATGGATGGATGGGTGAGTTGGTGGTTGGATCAATGGGTGATAGATGGATGGATGGATTGACGGATGGATGGATGGATGGATGGATGGATGGATGGATGGACAGATGATGATGGATGAGTGGGGGTTGGATTGATGGATGGATGGGTGGGTGGGTGGTTGAATGGATGGATGCATGAATTGATGGGTGGGTGGGTGGTTGTATGGATGGTTTCATGGATAAATGGATGAGTTAGTGGTTGGATGGTTGGATGATGAATGGATGGATGGATGGATGGACTGGTGGATGGATGGATGGAAGCATGGACGCATGAATTGATGGGTGGGTGGTTGTATGGATGGACAGAAAAGTCAAAGTGCTACCAGTTTTTCATGTTGTAAATGCCTTTTACATGTTCTGCCTAATACCCCTGTGTAAAAGGTCTGTAAGCAAGAGTTCCTTTATTTTTGACTGTTGTCAAAAGTGAGAACAGTGAGTGACTAGTAAGTTGTATCTGGGCTGTTTAAGGACAACTCAGAGCAGCACTGCGCTCACCTTGTTTGTATCTGACTGTCCTCCTGAGTGATGTGAAATGTTCATCAAATGAGTTTATATTGAGTTTATATTCTCTTTCAAGCATGGAACAGAACAGAACAGAACAGAAGCGACTGTTTAAACCCATATTAAAGAGCATCTCTCACTCTGACTTTGTGAGTGGATGAATCATCATTTCCCTCTGGTCTTTTGAGTGGCGTCTCTCTCACTCGCTTACTTTCTCTCCTCAGGCTGCTTTCTATGCCTGAAATGCACTTTCAGTCTCAGACAGCCGACCGATCACACTATCAGCCATACACGTTAAAGGACGGCCTGTCAGTGACATCATTAAACCACTTCGAGACATGAAAGGAAGCTTTTCTACAAGAACACACACTCCGCCCGTGATGAACTCACAGTTTCTGCACTGAGGATCGGCTTGTTTGAAATAGGTTTTACTCCTGCTGACACTAACATCACCTGAGCTGGAGCACAATGAGGAGAATGGCACTTAGCTGACATTTTACTGCGTTTAAGAGGACTGTAATAGCTGTAATATTGATGTAATAGCGATTTTCAGCAGCTGCTCAGTTCTTTCTGCATCAGCTGAGTTCTTTATGTGTCTGTATGTGCCTGTACTTGGTTTTACCCTCTTTGTGGGGACAGCAGACAACCCAAAATAATAGGAGAATATTCAAACATTTTGCTAGCCCAGCACCAAGCAGAGAATTCATTTCAACTTTACAGGCAAAGAAAAAACATTATTAAATTTCAATGTAAGTAATATAAAAATATTTTATTTTAAATAGTTTTGGACCTTTTCTGTTTGTCCATTCGACATGAAATCTTCATATGATGTAAAAAGCTGATCGCATTTTCAAACGGCATTTATTATACATAAAAAATATACCAATCAAAAGTTTGGACATATATATTATATAAATAGGGAAGTAATGCATATGCAAAAATTTTGTTCCAAAACCGAGCAGAACAACCATCCTCTTTTTGGCCCTATTGTTGGGAGATTGTGAATTCAATCCCCAGCGATGCCACAAGGCACTCTCTCAAGGTGGGTGGGATGGTCCTCCCTCTCCCCCCATCATTTAGCATGAAGTCAGCCATGACATTAGCTGACGTGACAGAATTGGCAGTTAGAGTTCTCTACCAAACGTGTTAAGCTGTCCAATGATGTTGCAGCAGTTTGAAAAGATGCAGTAGTGCTTCATGCATCTCAGGAGAAAAAGGTGCACGCCTTGGTAGCATCATGTGATGAGGAGACCCAGCTAGCTAGATCTATACGCTCACACCCTCAAGAAAAAAAAATCCGTGTGTGTATTTCCATGTGTTGTTTCATAGTTTTGATATCTTCACTGATATTGCAAAACGTGGAAAAATACAGTGGTACTTGAAAGTTTGTGAACCCTTTTCTGTTTTGTATGTTTCTGCAAAAATTTGACCTGAAACTTCATCAGATTTTCACACAAAACATAAAAAAAGAAAACAAGTTGTCAGTTTTTACCAATTGTTGATGTAATGAGATTTGATTCCAAGTCATTCTGGACTGTTCATCATGAAATCCCCACACAGTAGATGTGTAACTGTAGGGTTGCAAAGGGCAGCAGATGTTTTCAAAGGGTGTGAAAAAGTATAGACTAAAAAGAGGTTACACGGTTTTTAATGACAACAGCAATATACTTCAATAAAAAAATAAAAAAAGACACAGAGAGAGAGAGAGAGAGAGAGAGAGAGAGTTACAGAGGGAGAAAGGATGTATTGAACAGATAATAAAAGCTGTGCGAGGCACTTTCAGTAAATTATACTGACATACATCCCTCACAGAATGACAGATTTACAGCTTGCTAAGCAACACAGAAGATGGAGAGAGGGCTAAAGAGAGAGAGACAGAGGGGGAGAGAAGGAGAGAGAGAGAGAGAGAGAGAGAGAGAGAGATAAAGCACCTTCACAGTGGAGCAAAGAGCAGGTACGAGTGCCTGTATCAGTGCTTAATGTGTGGCTCTCACAGTGGAGCATTATACATGTCTATACCTGTAATACACCGTCCTATTTGGCGCTCTACACTCTATCCAAATTGACTTTTGTGTGGATTTCTCGCTGAAAAGCACTTTGGCTCGCAATGCCGTGCTACACTACACTTAATAAGAGCTGAGCAGATGTTTCTGCACCTGTTTCATGACTGTGGGCAGCAGAGCACAGCTGATGAACTGGTAACACCTCTCCACACAAATGAACTGGAAACTGAGGAAAACTTGTGTACAGGAGTTGACGTGCTCCAAAAGTTTGCATGGAGGTTTAATGAGCATGTCTCTAATGTGGTTTCTGACACTGTATGACATACTGTAATCTATTAAAAGTATCATTACACAGATAAAAACAGTAGTAGCATCAATCTTGAGGCCTTAAAGTCTGTATGTGGGTCCACACTTCAGCTGCTCACTCATAACTACAGAATGTACACATTAGTTTCATAGTAGTTACTTAATAATGTATGTTAGTTAATAATTCATAGTAGATCCTGAATAATAATGATTAATCTTTTAAAACTGATAGTTCTGGTTCTAAAATCTGATTGGCTGAGCCGCATTCAAAGCTGTTGTAAAATCCACGATATATGCACACCTATGACCACCTCAATACTACTGAGCTCTGTATTACTGCACCAGTGCACAAAAAACCCGTGTGCTGTTAATGGAATAATCTTTATAATGGAATAAACCCAGGCTGAATCCCAAATGGCTGCATATTCCCTAAATATTGTGCTAGCTATGAAAGTCTCTACAACCAAATAGTGCATCATTTATTGAGTGTGGATGTGTCTGAGTCCCAAATGACTATTTCTTAGCTATATTTTGCACTGTTGGGCTGCAGGATCCAGTATTTAATCCCTGTGTAGTGCACTATGTAGGGAGCACGGAGCCATTTGGGATTCAGCCCTAGTGTGAGAAGAGGGAGCTGCTGGATTGGTGCTAAATAAGACTGGTGGTGGTATTTGGTGACCAAAAAGTGCTTATAAAATAAAGGTTTTTACAGTGCTGCATCATCATATGTTCATTATTACACAACAAAAAGTTCATTCATGAAATGATCGCAATATACAGCGATGAGTGACTGAATGTTCTCCTCATTTAGCAGTCCATGGCCTCTTAGCAATGATACCATAGTGAAAAGGAACCTTCCCCATGATAAAATTGCAGTAACGCACAGCTTCTCGTGGCTTATTGCTTTAGTAATGAATAAAAAATTTAGAGCAATTGTTGAATATTTTATGGCAGTTACTGAATCATTCATTAAAGTTACCAAACAAATAATAGTATTTAATGAATAATTCATGGTAGTTACTGGATAATAACTGAATAATAAGCCTGCATTTTAAAGGGTTAATCACTTATTTCCATTCAATAAGCAGTGTCTGTTCAGTTCACTCTGAGTCTACGTGGTCTGGTGAGCCGCACACAACAAATCAAAGACAGGCTGTTTCTAAAATGCTGGGAGCAGAGCCAGGATCTGGCAGCACTCTTCACTGCCTGTGCTAAAGAGCTGTGCCACACGCATGATTCAGCCCAGCAGCTAATTAGCAAGTGCTTCATTAGTTAAGTGTGGTGTATCAGAGCAGGGAGACACTAAACTGCACACTGAACATTTGACCTTCCAGGATTACAGCTGAGAAACACTCAATGACCTGGTCATGACTCCACATAACCCTTATTTATTATTATCGTTCTGTTACGCTATTTAAATGTAATTACACAATAATTACATATACATTACAATAATTCAAATCATAGTGAAATATCTCCTACTCACAAACACAAATGTGGTATGCATTGAAAGTATAAAATCTGCACTTTCCACAAAACTTCTCTGCAGTAACTGTGACTGGTTCAATCTGAAAGAACTGTACCATTGTTTAAAAAAATGAAGGAGTATAGAATTTATACCTGACTATTCCACCACAGACAGTGTAGCCAAACGTTTTT